CCCCCTTGCTGTTTTTCTCAATAATCTATAAAGGTGTTTTTCCCCAATTAGCCTATGTTCATTTTCCCCCGATCTCGTATGGGGGTTGGGGCTGTTTTTCTCAGCACCTCATCTCGGGTTGGTGTTTTGGAAGGGGTTTTAATAGTTTTTCAGTTTGGCCTGGAAACCTATTTTGGGAAAATAAAATTGTATAAATCTGCCCTTTTTTCACCCTAGTAAGTTAGATTCTTAATAAGGTGACAATTGGATAAAAGTGCACCTTTTCTAATCTGGTTTTTCTATTCTTTTTCAATTCAAGGGAAACCAGCAGTCTGCACACAAATGAGTTAGATCTGCAAAACGGATGCATACGCAACACTCAGGTTCTAGAACAGGACAGAAGTGGATGAACAACCAGAACTTTCCGCCAGAGTTTACAGCTGGTGAATCGAAGAAGACTAATGTTAAATGTTTTTGAGATACTCATTTACTATAAAGTGAATAGAAATATGTACACATGGGTGAAAGCATACTTGTATAACAGAGGAGCCTAACAATAGATAGACTGACTCAAGAGAAAGTCTTGCTGAGTCATGGCGTATCCCTCTGTGGTATCTTGCCCCTAACATTTTTTTGGGCACACTTCCCAATACAGGTGTCTATTTTTTTAATAGTTTATATCAAGTCCTAATTGCTGAACTATCCCATAGTAATAATATTGCTGATGTATGCCGACGACTTGTAACTATGGTGCACAAGTAAATATGCAACATTCACCACTAGACTGCTAAAAAGATCCATATGTATCCATATATCATTATATATATATAATGATTGCATGAGTTAATAAATGGTGTGTAAGAATCAACATAGACAAGTATGACACCACCCTCCTCACCTTCCCCTAAAAGACAAATCAGGCATCATTTAAATAAATTGAATACTAAGAAGAGAGGATAAGGAGCCCATATACCTTGGAGTCACGTTTGATGACGATTAAACATGGGAGAAAACACACCATCAAGGCAGCAACAGAGGGCAGAAGAAAAATAGCTATCCTAAGGAAACTAAAGTGGAATCACGTGGGGAACTAGTGGGAAAATACTTTGGAAAGTTTATCAACAGACTGTGTGACCACACATTGAACACAGGTCAGCTGCATTTAGCTCAGCATCAAAAACCACACTACACACGTTAGTGATGCAAAATGAAGCACTCAGAGTCATAACAGTCAAGATGAAAATCAACACCTATAGCTGTGATGGAGAAGACAGCGATGTCCCAAAACACTGACAGAAAGTAGGGTATCCCAAGATAATCATATAAGTTAAAAAGTTTCTTAGCATGCCTGGATAAAATGAAAGATGTATGAAAGACAGATTCCAAAATCTAGCAGTAGGGCAACTTAAAAGAAGCAGTTTCATCCACCAGGCTCAACTACTTTCCAGTGAAATCAATTATTTGCCTGCAACTAATAGCCCCTTGAATGCTATTCCAGATCGATCCCTTGGAAAGAGGATTATAAGTTGCCAATAAACATCTAGACAGAAGTGAAAGGAGTATTCGACGAAGGAAGAACAAAACAGTGTGCAGCGTAAAACAGCCACCCCAATCTACTTGATGATGAATAACCTTATGATCTTTGGGTTTGTAGCATCACAGATGAGTCATCACAAAATGCAAGCAAAAATGGAGAAGCAGGAATGTACATTGAGCATCCACAATAATAACAGATACGCAGCCAGAATACCAATAGGAAAGCACTGTCACAACTATGATGCAGAAATTCAAGCCATCATTGTAGCAGCAGAAACTGCTAAATACCAGCCGTATTGTATTCCCACTATATACCATCCCACTGCAGAGTTCCCGGAAATTAGAGAGCTGATAAAATAGCCAAGGAAAGTGTGAATGAAGAACAACATGACATCCCAGTCTTTTATCAACAGAAGAAGAGAATAATTAAATCAATCAGAAAGCCACCAGAACTGGCACAAGATGGTTACCATATTATGGACAGATCAAAGCAAGTTCTGTTCCACGTCTTAGAACAGGACACAGCCGACTTCGCTGCCACATGTATACACAATTTAAGATTTTCGAATCAGCCATGTGCGCATGTGGACTGGCACCTGAGACAACAGATCACATTCTCCAAGTCTGCCACAACTACAACACATCTAGTAAACACTTCTGGTCAAGAGAAACACTGGGGCAAGCCACACAACTTTACGGGTAGCCGAGTGAATTACAATAAAAGACAGTGAAATTCATGCTACAGACAGCAGATATAGATAATCTATTTTAAGCGAATTAAAGAAGAAAACGTAATTACTATAGTGAGAGCAAATACATAGTTCCATATGGGATTATTCGCCAACATCATCATGTAGAAGATCCTTTGCAGAACGTTGCTCCCATCATAGTCTGTCTGAAAGAAACGGGTCTCTCAGGCAGCTCTCTCACTTCACGCACTTTCATATTCAAGGAGTCACTTATTTCCTGTGCCCATCTTAATGCTGGTCGACTTCTCTCTCTTCTTCCCGGTACCATGCCTTCTGCTATTACCCCCCCCCCGCCCCCCGCCCCCCATTCCGTCATGGCGCATATGACCAAAATATTCACCTTCCAAAACAAGATGCTGTTTATTAGCCAATCTTCCTTGAGTTTCAGATATTTTAGGATGTTAGTATTTCTTTTAGTCTTTGTCCACGGTATTCTGAGAATCTTTCTATAGCATTTTAACTCAAAAGCCCCTACTTTCTTCCTTAAGGACTTGGAATAGTCCACAACTCACATCCATATGTTGCTACAGGGAAGATTCATGCTCGCAAAATTGTCATTGATTTCCTTGCTGGCGCTAAACTATAGCCTTTTAATGCTGTTTAATCTTAGCAGCTGAAATAATATTTTAAATGACGAACGCCTCATTTTCGTGACATCTTAAGTGTCAGTTGCCAGGTGATAATTCCCAGACCAGATGGCTGGTGTTGTCAGTTTGTGACATGGAGCTAACTCAGAGTGCACAAACCAGGGAATTATACTGGCGACCTGCGGACAGAATCGTCCCGCAGAGGGATAGCAAGTGGCCCCCGGATTACTGCTAGTTGTATTGTAATCAATGATCTTTCTAACTGGGACTCAGGCTTCTGACCCATGACTATCTCAGTTTGCAACATTTTTGCTCCTAAGTAAACTTAGTTGAATAGCGGTCAAAAATCATAGATTCATATGTTCACCGCAAAACTTCTGTCTTGCGATACTTTAAACCAATCTCACCAAGTAGCAGATTAGCACACAGACATACCCCACCGCCTTCTTACCCTGACACCCCCCCCCCAATCCCCTTGTAAACTTGTATTGCAACTTATTTAGAACACATTCAGGACGCCAAAGATTGTACACATGTTCACAGAAGTGTAGGCCAGGAATCCTGTACTGACAGGCAGTGAGTGCTGCTAACTTGCTACCGTTATGGCTGAGGGAAAGTGTACCCAGAAACCCGTCACCTGGCCGGATCGATCCGAGTATACTGACAAGTACATACTGCCATCTTTGACACCAGCCAAACCTGACCCGTAAGTCTGCATTTGTCAGTAAAACATCTATCATTATAACAAAGTGAAAATACAGAAAATGTTCACTCCTACTTTAAAGTAAATTCATGATACCGTGATGTACATTTATTTACCTCTGCCATCATTGTGTCAAACTTTGATATGTAGTTGTTTGTAATGTTTCCTTTCTGTTGAGTTTAGTTGAGTTAAAACCAACATCATGGAACAGAACTAGGGATATTCCATTGGCGCTTTGCAGCACCTCAGAACACAGTTCTAGTTCTGATGCTAACAGTAGCAGTTAGATCATATGTCGGTCTTACCCTTCCTTTAAGTGTTGACCAAGACCCATAGTTAATACTAGTTGCACCATTCTTTCCAGATCGTGATGATCTGTTTGTACTTCCGCACTGCTGACTTATTCCCAAATGTCCTTGATCACATACAACTTGTCATGTAGCAAGCAGTTCACCACCCAAAGGTATTGAACCAGCGAATCTGTCTGTCAGATTGTTTTCCCAACGCACCTACATTCGCAGGAGAAAATAGTAACTACCAGGAACCTCTAAAACAATGTTTACTTGATCACATATAACTTGTCATGTAGCAAGCAGTTCACCACCCAGAGGTATTGAACCAGCCAATCTGTCTGTCAGATTGTTTCTCAACACTCCTGCATTCCCAGGAGAAAATATCAAAATACTAACTACCATGAACCTCTAAAACAATGTTTACCACTCTGCATGCAGCATGTATTTATCAAAATTCTTCTTGAATCTGTTAGTCAAAATCGTTTCTTCTTCTTCACGTTCACCAGTTGTAAATTTTGGCGGAAAATATGGAAAACAAGAATAGACCTACTGCCTACCCAAAGGCATGTCGTAAGAGTCGACTAATTGGGAGCTTCCTTTGCAGTCGGAGTGCATCTGCCTGTGTGCAATCTGCACACAAATGAGTCAGATCTGTAAAATGGATGCACACGCAACACTCAAGTTCTGGAGCAGGACTGCAGTCCAGAAGTGGATGAACGACAGTCAAAATGTGTTTGTGCAGCTGGTTGTCAAGCCAGTAGAAGGCTGCCATATTTGCCTTCTCTTCCATTCTAAAACTAGAGGTTGTGGTATCATTTCCTTGCCTTTGTCACATGAAGAATCGCCCAATTTGCTTTTACAGTGAGCACCCATACACTTCTTCTGTCTCTTGACACAGATGGTCATATATTGTCACCTCACTTCAAGCAGTATTTTAACTTAAGATTATTTAGCTGGCGATCAACATCGTGGCACACGGATAGTAACCCATAAGTGCTCTGTTATTCTTCAAACTTAAGTATGAGTCTGAAGAAGCTCAGCACAGTGCACAGGCTCTGTGGCACCAGCAAGAATCCTGATGATTAAAGCCATAACTAGCAAATATTCAAACAAGCTCTGTGTATTATTCCTGTGTCAGTAATATCCTTTTACAGCAGCTTATTTGCTTCTGATTATTGTTTGCTTATTTTTTACTACCCGATGTTAGCTGGAGTGGTCAGAAGCACACTGACCAGTCAGGCCGACCACGGACACCCAACGATCCGTACACAGTGCTTAACGAACAGCAGCTGAAGAATTTGAAAAAGGTTAGTGCTGTATAATATTCGTTTAAGATCTCTCTTTGCAACAGATGGATCCAAGACATTAGTAACGGTTGCAGAACTCTAGCCATATCCTGCCTGAGAGAAAGAGAAAACAAAAACATGAAGAAGAAGGACGTGTTGGATGAGTGGTCTGCACTTCTAATTTCTACTCCAGAGGAAGAAGAGCGGGGAGAGGACAAAAGTAATAGTAGCATTAAAATAGTAATTGTAGCATAAGAATAGTAATTGTAGTAACAGTTGTTTAGTCACTGTTCACAGTGATAATTGACTGAATTGCTTTAGTAATGTTCAACAGTTTTCAGTGCATGAATATGGCGTAATACTATGGAACCACAACACAAAATCAGGAAGCTTGCGGAGAATGTTTCAATCCCTATAAAATTTCAAGACCATAAATCTCTGAACATCCCTGTATGTCATCTTGTTACTGTGACTGGCGGTGACTCATGGGTTTAGAGTGAACAGTATAATTCAATAATTGAAGGTTTGGTCACAAGAAAAGAATGGTCGGGGTGGGGGTTTGGGACGTTGGACAACACAACAGCGGACATATGATACCTTGACATGAACATGTATGAGCCAGGGACACTGGCTGAAGATCGAGAAAACGTCAAGTAGACTTTAATAGGAGCACTGTCCAGTAAGGGAGCCGCCATGGTGTAGCGGCTAGACGCTCGCCTACCGATCAGCAAATCATGGGTTCGGGTTCTGACAGAGCCGGACTTTTTTTTAGAAATTACATTGACTCTCAGGTCATCTTCTTTCTGTGCCCTACAACCAGTTTCTGCAACCATATCCCTGTTTTTAAGCCATTTTTCCAACAGATAGTTCATCGCTTGTGATTCATGTGTCTCATTCATTATGTCTGTACTGACCATATTTCTTCTTCCACTAACTACTGCAGACACAGCTAACCTGTCAGTTCTTTCATTTTCTTTCAGCCTGGCACCTCCTAATGTAAACAGCTCTGATAGTTTCTTAAAGTGAATCTTCTAGATATCCATCAACCCATTCTAGCTGGATTTTACTAGTTAGGATACCTCAACCGTCGAAGTCAGAAGATGTCAGCCTACTTGGCACGTGACTAAAAATCGGACATCTACGCACTAGCGATATGGTCATGCAAACTAGTTAGGATCTTTTTAAGTATCCTCACTGAATATCACTTAACGATGGTTCCCTACAGTGATAGACATTCAGCATGCGATAGACATTCAGCATGCGATAGACATTCAGCATGCGGGCTTGGAAACCCCACGAATGATTAAAGTGAGAATGTTACGGGTCTACTGTGAAGGAGACAAAGTCCCCCCCCCCCCCCCCCCCCCCCACAATCATAGTCCACTTAAGTCGAACTCAGATAAATCGAATTTCAACAGTTAAGTTGACATGACCCAGCTTAGTCCCGGCAATTTTCTCTGTCGTGTGTGCTGTCTGGATAAGAAGAAATCCTGATAAGTGGAAGCATTTTTTTTAGGACTCTGCGACTTCTACTTATCCAGACTCGACTGTATAACTTTAACAATGCGGCTTGAAAACATTGTTCATTAAAAGATCACCTTCAGTGAAGATGTCCATAATTGCTCCGATCTCCTCCTGAGTATGTCTCCAAGTGTTTTCATGCTAACATAAGCCGGCTGGGTTCATTCTGTTCTGGTTGATGTAATGACAGGTGACTTCCGCATGGTTTTCCTATCTGGCAGCTCCAATTAGTGGAACAATTACAACAGAATAATAATGACACCAACAATGGCCTGCGGTCAACAGGTTCTGTTCAGCCAAGGGATCTGACAGGCACTCTGCACCCAGAGGAAAAGCTCGACAAACTTATAAACACCCACTGGTACCATCAGAATGGGAACTTTTCGCCAACTGCTGAAGATGAGGACGAAGCATGTATGATAATATCTCTAACGCTGTGATGTCCAGTTCAACTCTGTTCAGTAAAATATTTGTTACAGACTGCAATATAATTACGACACAGTTTGTACAAAATTGTGTTGAAATCTGCAGGATGCCTCGCCATTTTTCATGTACGAAAACGTGCCTGGTGGCACAGGATCTAAGAGATGTCCCACAGTCCTGCCAGCTCCCATTGACCGGTTCGCTTATGACACAAGTCAGTATCTGTTTCGAGATACACCTCCTCGCTCCCACCCCCACTGTTGGATCGGAGATCAGTGGACGAGGGAAGCACCTGGGCAGCACAACACAAGCCGGCTGGGTTCATCATTGTCTTGGGGGCTGTCAAAAACCGGTAATGATGTCTCCATCATGTGTTACCTGCACAGGCAGTCTTGTTTGTCCATAACCATCTGTCTTCTGCATATTAGATAGATCAAGGTCAAGAGGGTCGACTTCATTGCACTGGGTTTTATCCCATATGATTCAGTCTCTCTTTGCATAATAGCTAGCTGCCTGCTGAGAGTGTCCCAAAAAGCATAAACTCCCCGGCTCCAGCAAGGATTGCCGTAAAAACGTGTCCATAAATGAGCCTACTATCTTCATAACGCGAGACCACTTTGCCACAGAGACACCATGTCTTAGGTAAGTTTGACTGGTGTATCTATTTCATGCAACCCATTCTTTTTCTCTCTTTGCCAGCCCCTGTGTCTGTTATCCTGAATCTGTCTGGTTGTCACAATGTTCTCAGTTTGCTGATCTCTGTGTAACAAAGAACGGATTGAACCATAAGAATACTAGAAACCTGTTACAATGATCTGCCACAGGTACTGATGAGAATGGCAGACTTTTAGAATACACCCTAAAGTTCGTTAGTTAAAGTTAGATAGATATCTCATGGTGCGACCAAGAGGTTTATAGAAAGCAAATACAGAACCAAGTGGGAATCAGTGTTTAGGTCACCTGAAAGATGTTAGTTACATCTGATCAACTGCTCAGAAGAGAGCAAGGAACCGTATCAAGACTGCACAAAGCATAGCGGACCGAGTCAACATCTGTTCACCAAGCTGAATGTGGAAATTACTGATAAATGCAGCTGTGTCACTCCTCAGATGTGAACTAAACATTTGCATCAGGTGTCCAACATAAACACAGAGACAATTACTCTGGCCTACACCAGCTCTATCCGAGGACACACTCCATGCGGATGTTATCCAGCTGAAGACTGCTGCTTTCTTATGTGGATTCAGGTTGATGTTTCAGTGTGTATGAAACAGACTACTAGAGAAACATCAGAAAACATCATCACAGACATGACTGGTAGAGACACGTCAACAGAAAAATATCAGAGAAATGATAGAACAGGCTATTGGGGAAATGTCAGATATGAGAAACAATTGATATCAACGTGTGTTCCATTGATTTTATTTGGGGTATCTACTTGTCTCAGTCACTGGGGGTTGGATTTGTTTGGTTATGTGATTGTAAGCAGCAGAAAAACAATGCATTTCCAGCCAAGATCACTAACACTGAGGTATTGGAAAGAATATGTTTTATAACGGTTTTTTCAATGCTCAGTATACGAAGGCTCAGGTGGCTGGGTCACACCTGGAGAATGGATGATGGTAGTCCTTAAGGACATACTCTAAGGTGAGTTACAGATGGGTAGAAAATGTCGAGGCTGATCTCTACTATGATATAAAGATATGTGCATTTGGGACATGAATGTTACAGCTACTGAGATGGATTTGTGGGAACAAAATGCTATGGACCATGTTGCATGGAGGGGACAAATCAGTGAAAGAATGAGCATGAAAGAAGAAATGATGACAGAAAGGATGAAAGCTGAGTGTCTGAGAAGAAACACACCTAATACAACAATGGTCCTGAAAAACCATGTTCTAATTGTGGAAGACTTTTTCTTAATACAGGCAGGTCTCGCTAGTCACACTCGCCATCGCCATGGGCTGTGAGTCCCATGCCTCCACAAATCTCAACATAACACTGCCATCTGAAAAGACGAAAAGGTACCAGCTAACCATCTTTGCCATAAGAGGAATGGAGTCAATCACCCTACCTGGTAAAGCAAGCATATGCTAGAATGTTACATATCTAGTATACACATACACTGAGGGTAACATAAGTGCCTAGACTGCCCTTATCTGACCTGTGTCATTGAATTTATGCCATCCAGGGGAGAGAACGATCAGCCACTTCCACAAGGAGGATGTCTATCGCTACCTGAACATTGATGTGTACAAGCGGCCCCCAACCAACATGCCAGCTTTTGTGGCAATGAAATATGGCAGACCAACCGATGGATACTACCAGCAGAGAAACCCAAGTAAGTATCTGGTTTGCTCATCTGCATATAATTTCTCTGTACACATATAATTTCCCATCATCTGTATGCATAGTCTCCCCTTATCTGTACACATATAATCTCTTATCACATGTGCATTTATAATCTCCCATCATCTGTATGCATAGTCTCTCTCATCTGTACACATATAATCTCTTATCACCTGTACATTTATAATCTCCCATCATCTGTATACATATAATCTCCCATCATCTGTACACATATAATTTCTTATAACCTGTACATTTATAGTCTCCTAACATCTGTATACATATAATCTCCCATCATCTGTACACATATAATCTCCCATCATCTGTACACATATAATCTCTTATCACCTGATCATTTATAGTCTCCCATCATCTGTACACATATAATCTCTTATCACATGTACATTTATAGTCTCCCATCATCTGTACACATATAGTCTCTGATCATATGTACACATATAATCTCCCACCATCTGTACACATATAGTCTCTTATCACCTGTACACAAATAATCTCCCACCATCTGTACACAAATAATCTCCCACCATCTGTACACTGGGGGACTTTTAATCAGGTTGCAACTGGTACTATTAGCATGTCAACTCTTTGCTAGCTACTGAAGAAGGGGACGAAGCACGTGTGGGAATGTCCTGAGTGCAATGATGTCAATTCTTGATTCATTTATTCAATTATTCTTCAAACTGTTTAATCTTATCTGTTGCCATAGTCTATATGTACACATGAGATGGAGAAATATATCTAAGAGTTTTGTTTGGCAGATTTCAACACTTGGTTTGGCTCCACTCACAAACTGAATGAAACCAACATCCTGACCCACATTCACCCTAAGACAGTGGCGGAGTGCCAGCAGTTCCGGGAGCTCCAGCAGAACTATGGCAGACACCTGGCCTCCAAGTGGCCGGAGATTTCTGAGTACTCGGACAGGTACCTGCTACGAACTAAAGAAGAAATACAAGCAGACAAGTAAGTCCCCTCGTGGGATGCACTTTTTTTGTTATATCCCATTTGTGAGACACTCATGATGACACTGGGAAATGTCAAACACACCTGACATATGGTTTAGGGAAATATCACATTTGTGAGACACTCATGATGACACTGGGAAATGTCAAACACACATGACATTTGGTTTAGGGAAATATCACATTTGTGAGACACTCATGATGACACTGGGAAATGTCAAACACACATGACATTTGGTTTAGGGAAATATCACATTTGTGAGACACTCATGATGACACTGTGAAATGTCAAACACCTGAAATTTGGTTTAGGGAAATATCACATTTGTGAGACACTCATGATGACACTGTGAAATGTCAAACACACCTGACATTTGGTTTAGGGAAATATCACATTTGTGAGTTACTGAGGATGTTGGGAAAAGTTTAACATACATGACATTGGGTTGAGGAGAATATCAAACGCGTGAAACTGACACTTTCAATGGACATTAAACAAATTTGCCATTTATCTGCATGGGATATATAAAAACATATGTGACAGTGTGTTTTGTGACGTACCAAACACCATATGGCACTACAAATTGTAGGTAAATTACATATGTAACATTAAAACATCTGCATGGTGATGCATTCCACAAATTTTTTTTTTACTATATCACATTATTTGCTATCTACTTCAGAGGTCCTGGGTAGTTAGCATCCTTTGGATATTTTCTCCAGGTCATGCCGGTGTGTTGGGAAATGAGCAGACAGATAGACTGGCTGGCTCCGCAACCACTTGGGGGTGAATTGATGTATGACGAGTTAGATATTGTGAGGGCCTTTTGGGAGCGAGTAAACAGTGTGGAGGCGGAGATAGATCATTACGGTCTAAGGAGAATGGGGCTGCGAGGAGTTACCAGGGGATCTGGCCGACGCTCAACACTCAGGGGAAGGATGAGACAGATATACAATCAGACGGTAACTGGTACCATCGGAACTGGAACTCTTCGCTTGCTGCTGAAGATGGGGACTGAGCACTTATGGGAGTGCCCCGAGTGCTGTGATGCCGATTCCTAATTCAACATCTCTGCAACCAATGCCACAGATCTCCATTAACGTTATAACCTTGATTAAAGTGTAATATTTTTTTCTAGCCCATTAGTTGATGTCATCTGTGTGCCATTCAAACAATTAACTTCCCCCTTGGACATCTGTCTTTCTTTATCCTCTCTAGCACAGGCTTCATGATGAAGTACTGATGTCACAAGACTCAGGACACACCCAAAAGAACTCAGTCTCCCCTAGCTGAAGTGTTGATGCTGATTATCCCTGTTATGAACTGATTAGCTAAATGTCAGAACTGTATTTATGTTGAATGTTAAATTAAGAATTGACACACAGCACTTGGGACATTTCTATAAGCGACCCCTCCCCATCTTCAGCAGCAAGCAAACAGTTCAGGTTCCGATAGCACCAGTAGCTGTCTGGTTGTATATCCGTCTCACGTTTCCCTTGAGTGTTGAGCGTTGGTAACTCCCATCTGTCAGGATTTTCCATCTCTTCCCTAGCAGGCAGGCAATACTAGGGTGCCCGTGTACTTCCTGCATTGAAAGAATATTTTCTATAGATTGAGTACAAACTGTCCCAGTCTACAGCCAGCTCCATGCTGGAAACCTCATCACAATAGACAGAACAGAACAGAGATAATATCCACTGGTCGACATCCTTCAAATGAAGAAACTGAATCACCCTCTCGGAGCTTCTTTGGATAGAATTTAGATTAAACCAGCTATTTTCTCAGTGATCAAAAACAGAACCTATGCATCAAGGGACAATAAGCACATGTTCTTGTATTAACTGATCAGTAATTATCACATGACTATAACATGATCATATTCTTCTTGGTTGCTTACTTAGTCACTCCTCTTCTACCATGCGGTGTAGAGGTTTGCCAGAGAGATTGCCAGACCTCTTTATCAGCAGTTTTCTTCTTGGCTTTGTTCCATTCCAGTCCTCTGTCAGTCGGGGACTGTGGGATGTTGTCTTTCCAACGAACCCTTGGTCACCCTGGAGGTCTGGTTTCCTGGTTCTTAGCCTTCCGTGCCTGCTATGGTGGCAGATTTTTTCCCATTCATGATCATATTGAATACATACAATTATGTGCTGTGTGGCACAATGGGTTTTAGATGAACATATCTGATACTTTGATCTAGTTTAGTATTTCTGTGTTCCTTTCAGAATGGAAGCCAGGAAACAGTTTCACAGAGAAAAGAGAAGACAGGAGGCAGACGCTCTACTCCAGGCACAAGCTCAACAATTGGAGACTGCCCCACAAGTCCAGCCAGTGGCTGCTTGAATCAAACTTAATCCACTCATGTTTTAGTTACACCCTGGGACCTGTAAGTCAGAAGATATATGTTCCACACAAATATTTTATTACTTGAGACATGTCTCAGGTTTTTTTAAAAATGTGTATATAGTGCAGACCGCTTACGGTGATCTCGGATATGGCAAATTTCTGTTGTGAAGAACACATTTTTTTTTTTTAAAACCGTCAATTTATCTTGCTTGAACTTTTTATCTGGACTAACATAATTTCTAAGAACCATTTCTTGGGTCCCTGGTGAGTTCTTCTTATCAGGTCTGCACTGTAAACACATAATGTACTCTCACAATAAAAGTCTGGCATGATGAGAAAGTCTGTAAAAGGTATCCTGTTTATTTCTCAGAGGTTGAGAGGCAGCCTCACATGTACTACTCACATGAGCACTCAGGCTCTGATATATTTGACAGTAGGTTATAACCACCCAGCTTAGACTTAGAGATGCTATACGGTACCATGTACTGAGACTTAGAGATACTATACAATACCATGTACTGAGACTTAGAGATACTATACAGTACCATGTACTTAGACTAAGAGATACTATACAGTACCATGTACTGAGACTTAGTGATACTATACAGTACCATGTACTGAGACTTAGTGATACTATACAGTACCATGTACTGAGACTTAGAGTACTATACAGTACCATGTACTGAGACTTAGTGATACTATACAGCACTATTTACTGAGACTTAGAGATACTATACAGTACCATTTACTGAAACTTAGAGATACTATACTGCACTATTTACTGAGACTTAGAGATACTATACAGTACCATTTACAGAGACTTAGAGATACTATACAGTACCATTTACAGAGACAGAGATACTATACAGCACTATTTACTGAGACTTAGAGATACTATACAGTACCATTTACAGAGACAGAGATACTATACTGTACCATTTACTGAGACTTAGAGATACTATACAGTACCATTTACAGAGACAGAGATACTATACAACACTATTTACTGAGACTTAGAGATACTATACAGTACCATTTACAGAGACAGAGATACTATACTGTACCATTTACAGAGACTTAGAGATACTATACAATACCATTTACAGAGACTTAGAGATACTATACAATACCATTTACAGAGACTTAAAGATTCTATACAGTACCATTTACTAAGACTTAGAGATACTATACAGCCCCATGTACTGAGACTTAGAGATACTATACAGCACCATGTACTGAGACTTAATAAAGATACTATACAGCACCATGTACTGGGACTTAGAGATACTATACAGCACTATGTACTGAGTCTTAGAAATACTATACAGCACCATGTACTGAGACTTAGAAATACTATACAGATACAGACACACACACATATGTGTGCACGAGGTACCAAGCTTATTTCCAGATGTGGGAAGTTTCACCTATTTACTGTAAGAATTAATCAAGTAACAGAAAGTATTGTGAACGGCACTCATAGAAAGAAGTAGAAAGAAAGCTTTCAGTTTTTATGTTGTCTAGTGTGTTCTTCTATCTTTCTACTTCTTTCTATGAGTGCCGTTCACAATACTTTTTGTTACTTGATTAATTCATAATATTTAACTGCCTCAAATGGTTCCCCCCTCTGTTTATTTATTTACTGTAAGACTTGGTCTTTCTGATGTTTAGCATATCCTTAAATCCGACAGTCAGTTATTGATAAAAGTTGTCACAACTATTGTACATGGATGTTCACACAGTTACAAAGGAAATATTATGACCAGAATATCACAGAACAAACATTAACTCTGAACTCCCATCACAAACACAAGAGAGAACAATGGCTCATAACACAAGACTGCCCCCCCCCCCCCCCCCACTCGACTTTTCAAGAATTTGGTCAGTCCACACAGCACATCTTATGTAGTGCTGAGCTGAGAACATATCAATCAGCTGGACAAATATGGCACCACTTCACTAGCATCACTCAACAAGCAATGGATAAAAGTCACATTCTATATGTACATCTTGGCCGTGCCTGCTCTTTCTTTACTCTTTACTGTCACCTCTTTACAGGTTATCTTCATGTGAGGTGAGCATGTACATCAGACACTCCCCGACATTCAGAACCTTCTCATACACTTGGGTAACAGTTATTTACACCAGAATAAAACAAGTCATGGAGACGGATAAGTTCCTGTTGGCCAGGGTTGTCTCTCTTGTCTCCAGAAATGTTGATGGTAGAAAACATGCTCCATTATTCTGACATTTTCCACCAGAAGTCTACAATCATCTCTCTCTCTCTCTCTTTCGCTCCATCTAACTCACATATATGTGTGTGTGTTAGTACTTACACTTATTAAACTAAAGCATATAGATACAATTTTAAAAAACCTTACATATCAGTTAACAGATCACATAGCTACACATGTATAACATGCGGATATGAACACAGTCAATATGAAAGTCAGGTGTGGAGAACTGTTATCTGTACATCAAAAATGACATTATTACATCCTCTGGATGTTCTAACACTGTTCACCTCAAGTCTACAATCATCTCTCTCTCTCTCACCCCACTCACCTCACACACAATCATGTTAGCACACACCCACACACACTTATACAAGTAATGCATGCAGATATAATTTTTAAAAAAAATCCTAAAAATTATATAACATATAACATACCTACACAATTATAACATGTGGATATGATAATAGATCACAGACAATATGAAAGTCATGCGTGGAGAGATGTTATCTGTACACCAATTTTGAGAATATTATATTCTCTGGGCGTTCCCAACACCCCTGCCATGCCCCCCCCCCCCCCCCCCCCCCCCCCCCCCGAATAGAAATTTACTGAACATAACCTAACCCAATGACTCATTCCATGTTAGTTTTCCTAGTGACATCTTACTGACAGACTGTCACATGTTTCCATGGCAACACCCCTCTCCACCAAAAGTCCTGACTAGACCAGCAATGGCAGTTTATATGTCAACTGTTTCCATTTATTGACAAGTAAGATAAGATATCAGTAAAACGTTCATCAGATAAATATTTAGCTATACATCATCAATGATAAACATATTTTTCTAAGTTTGCAACACTGTTATTTTAGTTCACCAAACTGTATTTGTTGTGTCTATACTATGCATTCTCCGGTGTAGTGATTAAATTCTGGCTTTCATCCTTACTACTGGCCATCTACCGGGCTGACTTGTAACTCGTAGAATGTTGAATTAAGAATCAATATCAAAGCACTCGGGACACTTCCAAAAGTGTTCCATCCCAATCTTCAGTAGCAAGCTAAGAGTTACAATTCTGATGGTACCAGTAACTGTTTGATTGTATATCTGTATAACCTTTCCCTTGAGTGTTGAGCATCAACCCGATCCCCTGGCAAATCCCCACAGCACCATTCTCCTCAGTCCGTATTGATCTAATTGTGCCTCTGCACTGTTCACTGGCTTCCAAAGGGCCGTCACAATATCTAGTTTGTCAAACAATTCACCACCAAGTGGTGCAGAACTGGCCAGTCTATTTCCCTGCTCTTTTCCCAACACACCGGCATTACTTGGAGACAATATTTAAAGGACATTATCTACCTGGAAAATCTAAATCGATGCTTGCTTCTGCATGGATCCTACCTGTCTCCACCTTTCTAAACATTCTCTGTGAGTCAGTTACAATGATGACATGTGTGTACAGCTGATTCTAAAATCAGTGGAGGGCAGCACGGACTGCCTCCATTCTCAAACTAGACGTTTATCTCTCACCACAAAGCCATCTGTATAGATAATCACATCACCGGCAGGAGGAAGGGGGAGAGGGGATGTCAGACAAATCCTTCATTCAATTTGCAGTTTGTCTACCTGTCCATATTATGGTGCTTAGTACCCGATTTACATTCTCACTTCTTCTTTTTCACTTCCTCACTTCCAGTGAAGAGGGAGATTTGTAACTTACAGCTAATAACTGCGCCTGAACTGTTTCCTCTTCACAGTTTGTGCTATTACTCCTAATGCCCTATCCATTCATCACTCAGTTTGTAGTTTATCTACCTGTCCATATTATGGTGCTTAGTATTTGATCTACATTCTCATTTCTTCTTCTTCCCCTCTTCACTTCAGGTGCTGAGGAAGATTTGCCTGATATTCTCACTAGCTGACTTGAAGTCATGTTCCTATGGCAATCGTACGGCAAGACTTCTCTAAGCTACCTTCTTTTTTATGCTGAAACTGTCACTACAATTTGGGTCAGTTATTGTCTATTATTATCCTGAGAATATTTGATGTTGTATGTCTCAGCTGTACTGTTAGTGTCCCTCTTCACACCATCACAGCATATCAAGCAACCTGGTGCGTCACAATAGCTCGGCTACTGATCATATTCTGAACTGTGACACCCACCGGCACAAAGCAAATACTAACTAAGGAAGAAGACTGTCAGGGTAATATGACCAGTTCATTTGTGTGACTAACATCATTGCAATATCTGGAAATCCAACCGTCAGCTGATTATCATTTTTCCTACACACATAACCTAGTGACCATGTGAAACACTTTTCTGATCATTGGTCTTCTCTTTAGTGTTCACCTGCTGTAAACTCCCACAGAAAGTGCTTGTTGTTTCTCCACTTCTGGACTGTGATCTTGTTCCAACACTTGAGTTCTACATACACATCCGTTCTATAGATCTGGTTTATTTGTGTGCTGACTTTTGGTTCCTTGCCTCCCTGCAGATGCACTCTGACCTCGAAGAAAACACCTCTAATTAGTCGCCTTGTACAACATTTTTGACAGAGGGCAGTGAGTTTGTTTCTTTTCCCCCAAAATGGGGCCCTGGAACCCACACTGAAATTTGTACCATTCAGTTGCCACTTTTTTCACACATGTTTACCTTAAATTTAACTCTGAGTCCCAAGGAACACATCATACGTTCACAGGTTCCTACCTAGAAGCCCAATGAACGTATGATGCGCCGATTTTACGACTCTCTTTACTACCAC